GCTGAATAGCAGTTGCTATAAGTAGGGCCCATTTCGAAACGTTCTCGACCCTTTCTCTGCTTCTATCGTCTCAGTTGAGTCAACTCGCTCTTACAAATTCATATTTGGTACCCCCTCCCCCCTACCCAACAAAGTGCAATCGCTGCATGTGTCTTCGAAGTGACTGTTCTCTGCTCGTCGTTATGAATGTCAGATTGCTACTATAGTCACGTGAGTCACGTGTGCCTTCTAAAAAATAGTTTTTACCGTACTCTTTTGTGCGTTTTCCTAAACTCTTACTAGATAGCGATTTTTGCCTCCATCATGTCTGCTACCGTAAAGTGGAGACGGGCAAGAGAATCGTAAATTGCTGCTCCACGGCGATCGGCACAGCGTTTTCTTGAATCGTGTGAAAAGGTCGATTGGAGCACCGAACTTCATTTAGACCCCTTCACCACACCATAGACATGCATAACTATTTTCGGTTCTGATTGCCTGTTGTCGCCATCTACTACCTGGAACCATCGTCATTTGCGGGCGCGACGTCGCACGCGACGCCCACCAGCGCGGCGAATTACGATTCTCTTGTCACATACCCGCCGTAAAGGCAACAGGCAATGAACTGAAATCTTTCAGAGTCTCTTACCGAGCATCTCGTCCTTCTCCTTGTACACAGCATACATCCAGTCGCGCAGTTTCTCCTCGTCATCAAATGGCACCTGCAACACAGGTATTTGTATTGAAATTTCGAAAGCTGTAATACGGAAGTATGCCAAAGCGGCTGCATCGCTCCAAAACAAGACGATTGTTTAATTACGTAATACTACAGAACATTTCATTATATTCTTCGTTCATGGAGATAAACACTGTAATCCCACCTTGGTAGCACAGTTGGAATCGGCGCAGTCATTCGGTGGTGTTAAGGAACGCGGAATGAACTCACTCCCTCCGTTCTCCGGATGTTTTCCTCCTATTTCGACCGCTATTGGTACAAAGGGCAGCGAGGCTCATTTCACCCCTCTGACACCGCCCCGACTGGCTGCGATGAGATAAACTGTATTTACAGAGCTGTCGCAAGCACCTAACCACGCTGTCCATCTTTAGGGAGCTTTCCCAAACAAATTGCTCTGAGTGTTTTGGAACTTTACATTCATAGTATAACGAGCGTGTGAGCCAAGCTGATACCGTGGACGTTGAAAAAAAAACGGAATACATATGAAAAACATTGAGCATTATGAAGCCAATCAATCTCATATCCACCCAGGATCAAAAACGGAGGAGAACTCCGCATGCACCAATCTGGAGATTTTCCAAGAATTTCAAGGCGGAGCTCATTCCTACTCAGTTCTTTTCACAGATTCCAATTCCCCCAATTGAGAGGTATTTTATCACAAGAATTTCTGCTGAACGTTGAGGGCGGAATCAGACCAATCAGTAAGTATGCTATCTATTCGACGATTGTGCGAATTCCCAATCCTTCAACAAGTTGCACGTCCTACAACTTGAGCCATAGGTAGTTCTACAACCATAACGGCTCCATACATGAGCTTATCATCAGGCTAGAGAAAATAATAGAAGGCATCTGCCCAGCTAGGCCGCCACCAATCAATAGGCGAGCTACCCCTACAAAAGGAAAGGTTTTATTTTTGTCGACAAATCACTACTATATATAATCCGCTAAGTTTGTCTGTTGCGTGTGTGTGTCTGGTGAATGTCTGTCTGTGTATGTTTTGACCGAAATTTCATTAAATTTTCTTCAAAAACAGACGAGGCTGTGCCGCTTCAGAACTTGATAAGCGATGAGGAGGGTCGCAGGAACATATTGGTACGGTGGCAGGAAACGGATAAAAGCTGATAAGGATTACCATAGGGGTCTTAGAAAGCGAGGGTCGCCAACTCCATAACACGCGTCACAGCGACGCTAGGACTTTAGTTCCAAGAGGCAGTATAGGGGACAGGATGAGAACATTATCGGTGGGTGGCAGGAATTGATAACAGCTGATAAGATACCATAGGGGGTCTTAGAAAGCGAGGGTCACCGACTCCATAACGCGCGTCACAGCGACGCTAGGACTTTAGTTCCAAGAGGCAGTATAGGGGACAGGATGAGAACATTATCGGTGGGTGGCAGGAATTGATAACAGCTGATAAGATACCATAGGGGGTCTTAGAAAGCGAGGGTCACCGACTCCATAACGCGCGTCACAGCGACGCTAGGACTTTAGTTCCAAGAGGCAGTATAGGGGACAGGATGAGAACATTATTGGTGGGTGGCAGGAATTGATAACAGCTGATAAGATACCATAGGGGGTCTTAGAAAGCGAGGGTCACCGACTCCATAACGCGCGTCACAGCGACGCTAGGACTTTAGTTCCAAGAGGCAGTATAGGGGACAGGATGAGAACATTATCGGTGGGTGGCAGGAATTGATAACAGCTGATAAGATACCATAGGGGGTCTTAGAAAGCGAGGGTCACCCAACTCACAACACCGGCCACAGCAATGACGAGACATTGGGTCCAAGAAGGAATATAGGGGGCAGTATGGGAACATTATTGGTGGGTGGCAGCAATTGATAACAGCTGATAAGATAGCCAGGAAAATTCACTGCAGAGTTATAGCAACACTGGGAACTGCTCCAGCAAGTAATTCAGAGGTACTTAGGAAACATTAAAAGTGGGAGATAAATTCTGACAGTGTCCGACGAGGGCTTTTGGGAGTCCCTATCTGCTCACATCACCGTAGCCAAAAAATGAATGGGCAAATTCTCAATGAGTCAAGATGTTTTCCCTTAGCGAAATCCCTCAGTTTAGCGGTCGGAATTGGCCCTTTCACCGCTAAAACCGGGGGGCTCGAGTTCCCGAAAAAGGAGGTTTGGAGTTGTTGCCCAGTGAGGAATGATAAGAGCCACTGTGATTTCGATATTTTTACCATCGGAATCCTTCCAACCGCTATGCTGCCCGATTTCCAACGAATGGCGATTTTAGAAATATGATATGAGCCTAACATTGGCAAGTGTTCATTAAAAGGGAGAAACATGATGGAATGGGCCGTTTTGGAAACATACGAATTAGTGTTACTGCTAAGTGTTACTGTTCAGCACAGAAATCCTGTCAAGTATCAGTAACATAGGTTTAACCCTGCGCGCAGAAATGCGCGTCAGCCAGACAAATCTTTATTTAATTGCTGATTCCCTCCTCCGGCTCTTTGAGCGGCCATGTAACTGCTTTTGATAGATGACCGGGAAGGATATCCCCGCTTGATTGGTTCGGAGGGGACACTATTGGGGAAAAAATTTTTCCAGCGCGATGAAATATGCTGCCTACAGTACGCACCAGGCACCTAAGGCGTCAAAACGGATGAGATATTCATCACGGAATCAGCCTACCCATGAGTACAAGTCTTCCGCGAATTCGGTGGTCTAAGGAGTTTTGCGCGGTATTAGCTGTTTCCGCGGCGAACCGATTGATATTCGGGCATGAAAGATAAGCTAACATCCAAAATAAAAAATTCCACCCAAGTCGGGATTATGGCAAAAACTTCGAAAAATGGGTTGTTCACTAAATACTAGAGACGACTTTAGAGCCCTTTCCTTTTATTTTTCCAAGACAATGAAAACATCAAATGTCCTTTATCCCCACAAGGCGCAGATTTCTTTCTCCCTCTCCCATCGCACCGCTCCACAATGATTTCCGATAAAAGATCGTAAAGCGCTAGCTCTAAAGAAGCCTTTTACTGTTTTCTCATTTAGCAAACCGGTTGGGCAGCAGATTCTTATCTTGAATGCCAAGTGGGCAAACAACAACTGCAATGAGTAATACCAGTAAAAACCGTGAACCGGTACGTATTACAACCACAGTGAAAGACTGATCTATTGTTAACACAAACACCCCACCTCACATCGATCAAACCTATCCTTCACGGGTTATGATAGCAAGATACCACCATAAAACCCTACAGAACTGGTTGGAATTGCACAAACACCGGTCCAAGATTCTATGCTAGAAAGCGATTCTGCGCTAATCAAAGAGCTTTCGGCTCACCCCGCCTTGAAATTGAGTAACTTTGAGCAGCATCACGAGGAAGCTTTCGTAGGGAGACAGGCAAGGAAATCGCACTTTTCCGCGCCGCCACGGGCAGGGCACATCATTGGTTGGAGATTTTATTCAAGTCCACACGACCTCCCCCCTTTTTTGGGGTAGGGGTTGGCACGACCCCCCCCCCCTTTCCGGCCCCCTGTTCCTCCTCATCGAATCGAGCCGTCGAGCGGGGGGGGGGGGCATAGTACGCATGAAACAGGAAAATCACCAAAAGTCAACCACCACTCCTACAACGCCAAAACGTAAATACGACCCCCCCTCCCAACAATGACCAAGTACGACCCCCCCCTTACAACGTCCGTGAAGCGAGAAAAATCAACTATCAAAATAAATTTTTCCCAGCCCAAATACGACCCCCTATTGGGGATTCCCCAACAACGATGTGCCCTGGCCACGGGAAGGGCATCATGCGGCGGTCTGCGAAGAGTTCTCGATTTGCATCATCATGTCGACTGGAACAGCAAAACGACATGAATTAAACTGGAGGCAAAACTCCATGCCATCCATCTTTCGCGCACCTTCAAAACATTCGAATCTAAACGGACGGTCCAACTCGCCTCGCATGCGCGGTGTGGTTTGCACTGGTGAGTCGTGATGCTCCTATAGTAACCACCATCTGAGGCTGTGTTTAGACTTCACGATGAGGCGCCACTCTAACAGTCGTACCCCTACGCTACAAAAAATTGATGGACCACTCCAACTGTTCTTCATCATCTCTGATTCTTTTAACTACCATTTTTAGTTTTCAACTATCTTTTCGTTATTTTATTCAGAATGTTTGCCTTTTGAAGGTCATCGTTCGTGCTTCGATGACTCGTCATCCATGTTGCCCTCTCTTCACATACTAACTTCCAGTATTGTTATCCCTGTCATTTAATTCAAAAATGTGCCTGCTCAAATCCCGGACTATCCTGAGAGTATTGGACTTCTAGTTCAGTGGTTCCTTCTGCACTGCCGTGGTTCCAGATCACGTGGAATCACCGGGGTGGAAACAGAGAAAGTACGCTGCTTATAGGGCTCACCAACAAAAGTTCAGTCACAAGGCAGGAAAGGTAATCAGAAGACCTGCAAGATAAAATACTCCTAGAAGTGTTATTCCTGAACGGGAGTATCCTTCACTTCCTGATATTCCTCCTTTCCTACAGATCTCATCTTGGTGAGAAAAAGTGAGCGCCACGCGTCGAGCTCAAGAGGCCTGCGGTATTTGTGGCGGTTTGGGCGGCCGCGTAATCTCCAGGGCTGAGCCACTTCTTACCACTGAGCCAAGCTGACTCTAGAGGGCCCTACTGTCACCGAGACAAGGGTTTGATTTTTGATGTTTGAGTTTCCGAAGGTAATAATGCTGCTAGATGCATTGATAACAACGCTAACGAGGAGCGAGTGCTCTCTGTGAATGGGTGAATGGGTCCGCAGCTGCGCAGCTGTGGTCGTGCCGCTTTCTCCGCTCTGAAGTGCACGAGAACGGGGCTAGAGGGTATTTATGCCCAGGTGTCGTCCTCGATATTTCCACTGCATTAATCTCAATAGTGTAGCGCGTACGTCGATACCAGGACCCGCATCGGAAAACACACGCTCAGCGGCTAGAGAATAACGCAGATGTGACAGGGCAACAGAAAAGCACTGCGCGTCATGAGCCAGGTTATGGTGGCTTGGCAGTGCACGCCATAAGGTTTTGATCATTGCTGAAAATGGCGCCCCTCCCTGATTGCATCCTCAAAGACGACGAACATCAAATCTACATACCACATTTTCTTAATTTTTTCAACTTCACTATAACTTCTTGAACGCATTTTCCCGAGAAAAATTAATTTGTTCAAGAAAAACATTTCTGTGGAGGGAAGGGGGGCGGGTATACACTCAGTGTCAGCTACAGCAAATTTTCAGATTTTCCCTAACTCCTCCCCTGTATGGGGGGGGCGGTATACACGCAGTTTTTTCCGAAATTTCCTTCTGGTTGTTTTCCCAAAAATCGCTGAGGGGGGGGGGGTCGGGTCGTCAGGATTTTCTAATCTTGCAACCTATCAGAAAATATTAGTTGTATACATCCTTGGTGGTCCTCCCAACAACGACCAAATTCACCTACCTCCCTCGCGGTCAAATACGACCCTACCCGTTGTGATCATTACAACGATGGCGTGCTCTGGTAGCTGGCCGTGCGACAGTGCGGATGGAGTCGGGGAACGGCACCCGGGTTCGACCATCCTGAACCCCATTCTGGTGCACTTTTGACCGGACAAAGTGGCACGCTAATGCAGTTGCGAAGACATTCAGCACACACATGACAGGCATGATCCACCGAGGTGAGTGTACGGCTCATCTTAGAGGCCAGCGTTCAGAGCAGATGTCCCAAAATCCATTGACATCATTACGAAGCAACTCGTCCCAAAGCCATTGACCCCATCATTACGAAGCAAATCTTATGGTTAGAGATGAGGTCATGAGTAAGATGTCCCATGTCCCCCTTACCGTCCCCGTCCCTGTGCAGTGAGCAGCACCTAGAGTACCACTTTCTCAAGCCTGTTTAGGCTGCCACTTTTTCAATCCTTTTTCGTGAACACTCTGATAAGATAACACTCGTCATGTATTGATTACGGCTGAAAAAAGTGGGCCCACGTGTCAATCATAAAGAAGTAAAGTAATTAATCACATGAGATCGTAATTAGCAGTGAGAAATGTAAACAATGACGTCCAAGATAGAAAGAAACACCAACCTCGCTAGCATCATAGATCTTGTAGTTGACAGCAATGTCACACTTTTCACGAGTACCAAATCCAAGTGTGGCGAGACTGAGCGGGATGCCATTCGGATAGGCAATCGTCACATCGAGCACATACCGGATTGGTGGACGAGTTTCTGGAATCGGAGCAGTCATGAAAAGAATCAGCTCAGACTGGAACTACAGTCTTGTCGCTACCGATGAAGGGGCGTGTTCGCGCGGCTGCGTTTGGTACACTTCCAAATACATTTCCACCGGTTGTTAAGGCACAGAAATGACAACAACTGGTGAAAAAGGGCTGACATGATACTGCCTTTTTGTTTGCCGCAAGAAAAAAAAGTTGGCCTCGCCCAGCCTCTTTTCTTTTTTTTCCTGCCGCGCAACACGCCCCATAATCCTCAGCGAACCAGACCATACGAACACGACTCAAAATGATCAAAATAAAAATTAATTTTGGTCAGTGTTAGGAAATACTTTCATAACGGCACATTGATCACTGGACCGAAGAATTTAAAAATCGCTAAAAAATATTTGGACTGCTTAGGACAAGCGTCTGAGACACATCAGCAATGACCTGATAGGTGGAACCTATTCCTTGTATAAGAAGTCCCCGCCCGCAATCTCGGACGCTCTCACTTTCGAGTGAAGAGAGCACTGTGGTCGTCGTGAACCGCAGGCCACCCAAGAAGCCTGCCCCACCCATTCAAGGACCAGATGAGCCAACGATACTATAATATATCTCATCCATCTATCCATAAACATAGCAATGCGTTCATTCTT